GTCGGGCTTCCACGCCGCAACGGCTAGACAAGGTCTAGGCTAAAAGATTGGGAAATCTAGCAACAGGCAGAACGAGTCAAGCAAAACAGTCGGGCTTCCACAAATTTTACCTAGTTAGCAAGCAATAAAAAGGGAGCTAGGTATGCAGTTTCACCTAGTTAGCAAGCAATTAAAGGAGTTGGGTATAATGGGAAAATGTTTTTTTCAAAAGGAATTTTTTTCACAATCACACAAATTTTTTATAACTACTTGGGTCATAGTCATAAATAAAATTGCGTGAAGCAAGAGACAACGGTTATATAAAAGGCTAACTGTGCTTTAAACTATCATTTTCCTGAAAAGGACTAGACATGTAGGCATTACCAACTCCATTTACAGATCTATTTATTTAATTTCTATTATTTGAAGTTTAATAATTAATTATGATATTTAGAGAGGAATATCAAAACAATTAGTTGGGTTTAGTTAAGGAAATTCCTTACATATCATTGATACCAATTTTCAAACAACTAAGCTCATTTAATTAAATTTTCATCTTATAGATAGAAGGCCATATCTATAGAGCAAGCTTTAATTTAAAATTAGTGAAAAGTTAAAAGAGAACGCTAACAAAAGAGTAAAAAGAGCAGAAAAAGCAGAAAGAAATGTTTAGTAAAAGGAAAACAATTAAGAGATAATTAATGATATCGTAACATGAAAATAAGAAAATATGTGCAGAAGATATTAATCATTCAGCTATAAAAAATAATCTAGTAGATTCGAAATATTATTCCTTTAAATGTAGAAAAATATTATAGCAATAACTTTAGAATAAATTGGAAATTCAGACAAAGGATTGAAAAATATTGATATAGGAATAGAAAATAATTCAGAAGATTCTGAAATATATCTTAGGAAAGGTACTATTAATGATTTATGATTTCTTAGCTATGACATTATTTGAAATGAATAGATTTGAGGAGGCTTTGGAAAATTTTGATTTAGCAATTTAGAAAAATCCAGAAAATTCTGACATTTATAAAGACAAAGGTGTAATTAATTATTTATGATTTCTTAGCTATGACTTTAATTGAAATGAATAGATTTGAGGAGGCTTTGGAAAATTTTGATTTAGCAATTTAGAAAAATCCAGAACATTATGACTTGTATAAAGGCAAAGGTACTATTTACTATTTCTAATTTCTTAGCAACGACATTATTTAAATTGTTTAAGTTTGAAGAAGCTTTGGAAAATTTTGATTTAGCAATTTAGAAAAATCCAGAAAATTCTGATGTTTATAAAGACAGAGGTATTATTAAATATTTATTATTTCTTAGCTATTACATTATTTACAATGTGTAGATTTGAAGAAGCTTTGGAAAATTTGGATTTAGCAATTTAGAAAAATCCAGAACATTATGACTTGTATAAAGGCAAAGGTACTATTTACTATTTCTAATTGCTTAGCAACAATATTATTTGAAATGAATAGATTTTAGGAATCTTTGGAAAATTTTGATTTAGCACTTTAGAAAAATCCATAAGATTATGAAATATATCATGACAAAGGTACTATTAACTATTTATGATTTCTTTGCTCTTACATTAGGACAAATGAACAGGTTTTAGGAATCTTTGGAAAATTATGATTTAGCAATTTAGATAAATCCAGAAAATTCTGACATTTATAAAGACAAAGGTATTATTAATTATTTATGATTTCTTAGCAATGACATTATTTGAAATGAATAGATTTGTAGAAGCTTTGGAAAATTTTGATTTGGCAATTTAGAAAAATCCAGAACATTATGACTTGTATAAAGGCAAAGGTACTATTTACTATTTCTTCTTTCTTAGCAACGACATTATTTAAAATGTTTAGGTTTGAAGAAGCTTTGGAAAATTTTGATTTAGCAATTTAGAAAAATCCAGAACATTATGACTTGTATAAAGGCAAAGGTACTATTTACTATTCCTGAATTCTTAGCAATGACATTAACTGAAATGTTTAGATTTGAAGAAGCTTTTGAAAATTTTGATTTAGCACTTTAGAAAAATCCATAAGATTATGAAATATATCATGACAAAGGTATTATTAACTATTTATGATTTCTTTGCTCTTACATTAAGACATATGAATAGATTTTAGGAATCTTTGGAAAATGATAATTTAGCAATTTAGAAAAATCAGGAACATTATAACTTTTATAAAGGCAAAGGTACTATTAACTATTCCTGAATTCTTAGCAATTACATTAATTAAAATGAATAGATTTGAGGAAGCTTTGGAAAATTTTGATTTGGCAATTTAGAAAAATCCAGAACATTATGACTTGTATAAAGGCAAAGGTACTATTTACTATTCCTGAATTCTTAGCAATGACATTAATTAAAATGAATAGATTTGAGGAAGCTTTGGAAAATTTTGACTTAGCACTTTAGAAAAATCCATAAGATTATGAAATATATCATGACAAAGGTATTATGAATTATTTAAGATTTCTTAGCTATGACATTATTTAAAATGTTTAGATTTTAAGAAGCTTTGAAAAATTTGGATTCAGCAATTTAGAAAAATCCGGAACATTATGACTTGTATCATGGCAAAGGTACTATTAACTATGAGTCATTTCATAGCTATCACATTAATTGAATTGAATAGATTTGATGAAGCTTTGGAAAATTTTGATTTAGCAATTTAGTAAAACCCAGAACACTATGACTTGTATAAAGGCAAAGGTACTAATAACTATTTATGATTTCTTTGCTTTTACATTATTTAAAATGTTTAGATTTGAAGAAGCCTTGGAAAATCTTGATTTAGCAATTTAGAAAAATCCAGAAAATTCTGACATTTATAAAGACAAGGGTATTATTAAAGATTTCTGATTTCTTAGCTATGACATTAAGACAAATGAATAGATTTTAGGAATCTTTGGAAAATTTTGATTTAGCAATTCAGAAAAATCCAAAAAATTCTGACATTTATAAAGGCAAAGGTATCATTAAAGATTTCTGATTTCTTAGCTAGGACATTATTTAAAATGTTTAGATTTGAAGATGCTTTGGAAAATTTTGATTTAGCACTTTAAAGAAATCCATAAGATTATGAAATATATCATGGCAAAGGTACTATTAACTATTTATGATTTCTAAGCTATTACATTAGAACAAATGCATAGATATTAGGAATGTTTGGTAAATTATGATTTAGCAATTCATATAAATCCCGAACATTATGACTTGTATAAAGGCAAAGGTACGATTTACTGTTTCTGATTTCTTAGCAACGATATTATTTAAAATGTTTAGATTTGAAGAAGCTTTGGAAAATTTTGATTCAGCAATTTAGAAAAATCCAGAACATTATGACTTGTATCATGGCAAAGGTACTATTAAGTATTTATGATTTCTAAGCTATTACATTAAGAATAATGAATAGACTTTAAGAATCAATGGAAAATATTGATTTAGCAATTTAGAAAAATCCAGAACATTATGACATGTATAAATGCAAAGGTAATATTTACTATTTTTCATTTCTTAGCTATGATATTATTTAAAATGTTTAGATTTGAAGAAGCCTTGGAATATTTTGATTTAGCAATTTAGATAAATCCAGAAAATTCTGACATTTATAAAGACAAAGGTGTAATTAATTATTTATGATTTCTTAGCAATGACATTAATTGAAATGAAGAGATTTGATGAAGCTTTAGAAAATTTTCACTTAGCAATTTAGAAAAATCCAGAGCATTATGACTTGTATAAAGGCAAAGGTACTATTTACTATTTATGATTTCTTAGCAACGACATTATTTAAAATGTTTAGATTTGAAGAAGCCTTGGAAAATTTTGATTTAGCAATTTAGAAAAATCCAGAAAATTCTGACATTTATAAAGACAAAGGTATTATTAAGTATTTATGATTTCTTAGCAATGACATTATTTGAAATGAATAGATTTGAAGAAGCTTTGGAAAATTTTGATTTAGCAATTTAGAAAAATCCAGAACATTATGACTTGTATAATGGCAAAGGTACTCTTCACTATTTATGATTTCTTAGCTATTACATTAAGACAAATGAATAGATTTCAGGAATCTTTGGACAATTTTGATTTAGCAATTTAGAAAAATCCAGAACATTATGACTTGTATAATGGCAAAGGTACTCTTCACTATTTATGATTTCTTAGCTATTACATTAAGACAAATGAATAGATTTCAGGAATCTTTGGACAATTTTGATTTAGCAATTTAGAAAAATCCAGAACATTATGACTTGTATAATGGCAAAGGTACTCTTCACTATTTATGATTTCTTAGCTATTACATTAAGACAAATGAATAGATTTCAGGAATCTTTGGACAATTTTGATTTAGCAATTTAGAAAAATCCAGAACATTATGACTTGTATAATGGCAAAGGTACTCTTCACTATTTATGATTTCTTAGCTATTACATTAAGACAAATGAATAGATTTCAGGAATCTTTGGACAATTTTGATTTAGCAATTTAGAAAAATCCAGAACATTATGACTTGTATAATGGCAAAGGTACTCTTCACTATTTATGATTTCTTAGCTATTACATTAAGACAAATGAATAGATTTCAGGAATCTTTGGACAATTTTGATTTAGCAATTTAGAAAAATCCAGAACATTATGACTTGTATAATGGCAAAGGTACTCTTCACTATTTATGATTTCTTAGCTATTACATTAAGACAAATGAATAGATTTCAGGAATCTTTGGACAATTTTGATTTAGCAATTTAGAAAAATCCAGAACATTATGACTTGTATAATGGCAAAGGTACTCTTCACTATTTATGATTTCTTAGCTATTACATTAAGACAAATGAATAGATTTCAGGAATCTTTGGACAATTTTGATTTAGCAATTTAGAAAAATCCAGAACATTATGACTTGTATAAAGGCAAAGGTACTATTTACTATTTATGATTTCTTAGCAACGACATTATTTAAAATGTTTAGATTTGAAGAAGCCTTGGAAAATTTTGATTTAGCAATTTAGAAAAATCCAGAAAATTCTGACATTTATAAAAACAGGGGTATTATTAAAGATTTCTGATTTCTTAGCAATGACATTATTTAAAATGCTTAGGTTTGAAGAAGCCTTGGAAAATTTTGATTTAGCAATTTAGAAAAATCCAGAAAATTCTGACATTTATAAAGACAAAGGTATTATTCAGTATTTATGATTTCTTAGCAATGACATTATTTGAAATGAATAGATTTGAAGAAGCTTTGGAAAATTTTGATTTAGCAATTTAGAAAAATCCAGAACATTATGACTTGTTTACTGGCAAAGGTACTCTTCACTATTTATGATTTCTTAGCTATTACATTAAGACAAATGAATAGATTTCAGGAATCTTTGGACAATTTTGATTTAGCAATTTAGAAAAATCCAGAACATTATGACTTGTATAAAGGCAAAGGTACTATTTACTATTTATGATTTCTTAGCTATTACATTAAGACATATGAATAGATTTTAGGAATCTTTTGAAAATTTTGATTTAGCAATTCAGAAAAGCCCAGAACATTATGACTTGTATAAAGGCAAAGGTACTATTGACTATTTATGATTTCTTAGCAACGACATTATTTAAAATGTTTAGATTTGAAGAAGCCTTGGAAAATTTTGATTTAGCAATTTTGAAAAAACCAGAAAATTCTGACATTTATAAAGACAAAGGTATTATTAATGATTTTGATTTCTTAGCTATGACATTATTTAAAATGTTTAGATTTGAAGAAGCCTTGGAAAATTTTGATTTAGCAATTTAGAACAATCCAGAAAATTCTGACTTGTATCATGGCAAAGGTACTATTAACTATTTATGATTTCTAAGCCATTACATTAAAACAAATGCATAGATTTTAGGAATCTTTGGAAAATTTTAATTTAGCAATTTATAAAAATTCCGAAAATTCTGACATTTATAAAGACAAAGGTATTATTAAAGATTTCTGATTTCTTAGCAATGACATTATTTGAAATGAATAGATTTGAAGAAGCTTTGGAAAATTTTGATTTAGCAATTTAGAAAAATCCAGAACCTTATGACTTGTTTACTGGCAAAGGTACTCTTCACTATTTATGATTTCTTAGCTATTACATTAAGACAAATGAATAGATTTCAGGAATCTTTGGACAATTTTGATTTAGCAATTTAGAAAAATCCAGAACATTATGACTTGTATAATGGCAAAGGTACTCTTCACTATTTATGATTTCTTAGCTATTACATTAAGACAAATGAATAGATTTCAGGAATCTTTGGACAATTTTGATTTAGCAATTTAGAAAAATCCAGAACATTATGACTTGTATAAAGGCAAAGGTACTATTTACTATTTATGATTTCTTAGCTATTACATTAAGACATATGAATAGATTTTAGGAATCTTTTGAAAATTTTGATTTAGCAATTCAGAAAAGCCCAGAACATTATGACTTGTATAAAGGCAAAGGTACTATTGACTATTTATGATTTCTTAGCAACGACATTATTTAAAATGTTTAGATTTGAAGAAGCCTTGGAAAATTTTGATTTAGCAATTTAGAAAAATCCAGAAAATTCTGACATTTATAAAGACAAAGGTATTATTCAGTATTTATGATTTCTTAGCAATGACATTATTTGAAATGAATAGATTTGAAGAAGCTTTGGAAAATTTTGATTTAGCAATTTAGAAAAATCCAGAACCTTATGACTTGTTTACTGGCAAAGGTACTCTTCACTATTTATGATTTCTTAGCTATTACATTAAGACAAATGAATAGATTTCAGGAATCTTTGGACAATTTTGATTTAGCAATTTAGAAAAATCCAGAACATTATGACTTGTATAAAGGCAAAGGTACTATTTACTATTTATGATTTCTTAGCTATTACATTAAGACATATGAATAGATTTTAGGAATCTTTTGAAAATTTTGATTTAGCAATTCAGAAAAGCCCAGAACATTATGACTTGTATAAAGGCAAAGGTACTATTGACTATTTATGATTTCTTAGCAACGACATTATTTAAAATGTTTAGATTTGAAGAAGCCTTGGAAAATTTTGATTTAGCAATTTAGAACAATCCAGAAAATTCTGACTTGTATCATGGCAAAGGTACTATTAACTATTTATGATTTCTAAGCCATTACATTAAAACAAATGCATAGATTTTAGGAATCTTTGGAAAATTTTAATTTAGCAATTTATAAAAATTCCGAAAATTCTGACATTTATAAAGACAAAGGTATTATTAAAGATTTCTGATTTCTTAGCAATGACATTATTTGAAATGAATAGATTTGAAGAAGCTTTGGAAAATTTGGATTTAGCAATTTAGAAAAATCCAGAACATTATGACTTGTATAATGGCAAAGGTACTATTCACTATTTATGATTTCTTAGCTATTACATTAAAACATATGAATAGATTTTAGGAATCTTTGGAAAATTTTGATTTAGCAATTTAGAAAAACCCAGAACATTATGACTTGTATAATGGCAAAGGTACAATTCACTATTTATGATTTCTTAGCTATTACATTAAGACAAATGAATAGATTTGAAGACGCTTTGGAAAATTTGGTTTTAGCAATTTAGAAAAATCCAGAAAATTCTGACATTTATAAAAACAAAGGTATTATTAAATATTTATTATATCTTAGCTATTACATTAAGACAAATGAATAGATTTGAAGATGTTTTGCCAAATTATGATACAGCAATTTAGAAATATCTAGAACATTATGACTTGTACATAAGCAACGGTACTCTTAACTATTTATGATTTTTTAGCCTATGAAAACTAGAATACCCAAATTTCTATAGATTAAGATTTAAATGGAAAAGGTATAATGCTATTTCTATAAATTTTTAGATTATGCCTTATAAATTCTACTAGATACCAATATATAAGATGACTAAAATTCTAGAAGCAATAGAAATTTTACACCATAATTTAATTATTAGAAATGAATTAAACATTTAAGAAATAATATCTTATTAATCAAAATTTTAGTTATATTGCTCACTATATACAAAGTCTTTAACCTTGGCTCTACTTTGGAAGTGTTACTATTATGATTAAACTACATAGACTGCTATTTTAGGTTAAAATTGTTCTAATAATTATAAGTTTTTTTTATCTTTTGGAATTTTTTATCAATTACAATCTTATAGAGTTATTAACTTGTAGATCAGACATCAAGTAATCAAGAGAATATTATTGAAAATTATTGCCTTTTGTCAACTTTCTTTCTTTTTTGTTTTTGATGTTTGAATTCCTAGTTAGAGCATAATATCTTATTTTTAGTTTTATGCCATTTTTTACACAGAAAATACAATATAGAGACTTAATCTTACAATCTTTATAAAATAAATGCATCTTGGATTCTGGTTCTTTTTTAACTAAAATAAAAAATGATGTTAACAATTTCAAAAAAGCAATTCATTATTTAACTTTTATAAAACCCACTTATAAATATTCGGAGGGTTTTTAAGCATAATTAATTAATTTTTGTCTCTGAAACTATAACTTAGTGTTACACACAAACTTGTACTATATTCCTTTTAGTATTTCCAAATTGATGCGATTATTCTAAATATTTGTATACAGATGTAATTTAAAATTAACATCGAAAAAACCTGCTTGTTATTTGGGAAGATGGATTATTTAATTTTATTAAAATCCCTTCCAAATCTATTTGCCATTTTCTTCTTATCATGAAAATTATATCTATAAAATAATTCCAAAGACAAAAGTTGACTTACCATTTATCTGTTTTCATATTACTTATTCACCTTACAATAGAAATTACTTATTCAAAAATTCTATAACAAATCAAGATCCTCTCAAGATTTATTCAGGTTATAATTGAAATTTTACTCACTAAATATTTGGTTTGTGTTTTTATCTGTAAGTAAATAATTAAATACCCAAGTTCCATTTCCTACTGTATCACATCGGCGGATGCATTTATGAAGAAATTAAAGTTAATTATTTCCAAATTACCATAACTTTTTAATACTGTGTTTAAGTAGTAATTACTCATTTGCAATTCCCATTATTTTTCCATTTCAGATTATCATAATAATTATTAGCATTCACACTATTTAAGTGTCCTAGATTGAATTTATAACACTAATCAATAACTTTTGTTTGAAACACAATTACTATAGATCAAGAGTTATACTTCCACATTTTGATAACATTATTTATGGAAAGTTTGTTCAACTTTACATTAACATCAATTGATCATAAGGATAGCGACATCTAATAATAGAAATTTGAGGAATCTTGAAATATAATTTTATCTAAAATTGATTAAATCAACATTTATCATAATAGATTTATAATGGTCCTTTGTTCCAAATAATTTAAATTAATTCATATTATGCTTAGATATGTTTGAGTTATTTTCAAAAATAAGAGATTATAAAATTTACTTATGGAATCACTTTCATCTTTGTAATCTCTTTTTCAGGTTTTTTGTTTGATATTAATCAAGTTATTTCCTATTGAATTAATTTTAATAATATTGAAGAATAGGAGCAGAACTAATGTTTTTAAATATTTAATCACTTATTGATTACTTACTCAAAAATTGTAAACATCTCAACTCCCTTTATAATAATTATATGTCCTTAGTCCTTAAGGCTAAGCATTTGAATAAAAGAATACCTTTACTATATCTCTAAATAGTTGCCCTGTTACAATTGCTATAATTTGTGGAAGTAGAATTTTTTTACAAAAATACCCACAAGCTTATTAAATTAAACTTTTTAACATCCACTATAATCATCTGGCGATCGCAAAAACAGACAAACTGTTCCATTAATCATAGAAATATTAATTATTTGAAGTTATACTAAGCAATTCAATATCACTGATAATCCATATAAGTTTGAAAACAACAATTTGACTTTAAATTTATAATTGTTTGGACCTCCATTTATCTTTTAATATTATTGCTTGCAATTACTACCAATTATTATTGCATCTTAAATTCAAGACCATAGCATTAGAACAAGCATGAGAAGGCGAAGGAAAATATTAAAAGATTCAATTAATTCGAATATCAAATATTACAACCTTAATATTATCAGCAATTATTTCCCTTTAGCATTGGTTTTACTTTTATTCATAGTGAAATACTTCTGCATTTATCAATTGTGTTCGAATAAGCAATGCAAAGATAATGCATCCAAAGTATAAGAATTGGAACATCAATGCATGAATTGCCATTTTGATTAGAAATTTGAAAATTTAGAACAGGCAGTTTCACTAAATTTTGTTCAGGGTGAATAATATTTTAATATAGCTGAATATAAATGCAGCAGAATGAAAAATATTATTATGTGCAGCATCAACAAATTATCTCTTAACTTATTTTTTACATGCCACTACTTAAATTATATAGTTACTTAGTAATAATCAAAAATATTATTAAACAAAATATAGTGTTAAAATTGATAGGCGGTCACAAATAAAGCAATTCATATCTCCAAATAATTAGCAAGTTTCAAAAGGAGGTAAATTCTTTAAAAGAATTACAAGTGAAGAACAGGCAATGCAATATGTGATGAAAACACTTTAAGGCATCATTACGATGAAATATATGTATACTGAGAAAACAGTTTGCTATCCCAATAGAGGATTGTTTGACATCTTTAATAATTTATAAGTTTTATATTTTTAAAGGAATCTGCGTGATATTAGCGTCCTTATTAATCATATTAACAACTTTAATATGGATTATTAAATATTAGAATTTGCGTTAGTGTATAAATACTCCTTTTCTTGTGTTTATTATAGCAATGTTTACCTCCTAATGAATGATATCACTTTATTTTCAACATCTAACCTTCTGATTGTGCAGCAAAAATCTCTGTTAAATTATGAAAGCTATTTTTCTTAGATTTCTATAATCAAGTTTAAGTTAATTATAAGTATTCCATAATAGAGTTACAAATAACTTAAGTTTTTGATTATTATGAACTTTAATTTTTCAGGAAGTTAAAGATTGGATACTAAATGGATCAAGAAGTAGTAAAAATCCTATTAATACTATATCATTTTTGATAATAGAAATTTTAGGATTCCAAATCAAATAAACATCTAGGTAAAACCGAAACTTTTTAAATGAATAATAAGTATAATTGTAGGATTTATGCTCATTTTACAAAAATTACTGATTATCAAATTTTATAAATATTTAACATTTAGCTTATGTTTGAAGTCTTTATGTAAGTTGGGGAAATATTTATTCGATTGCATTATTGACATGAGTAGCTTGTAAGGTAATTTTTTGCATAAACTTCATTTGATTTATTCAAACAAGAATATGAAACTTTAACATCCTTACAATCATTTAAATTAATCAAGTATTTAAGTTTTGTGTCAAGTTTTATTGTATTTTGATTTCTATGTTAATGATAATGACCCTCTTCTATCCCCTTTAAGTTTATGATAATAAGCTTATGCTGACTAGCTCTGATTATTGAAATATAAAATATCTACTTAGCAAAGATTTTTCGTAAAAGTGGCCTTTCAAGTCTAATGGCCCTAATGTAAATCACTTAAACTTAAATATATTTAAACTAAATAAAGATCTATTCTTAATAAATGATAAGTCTAATATTGTTTCACTAAAATTTGTAAAATTTCAAAAACAAGTCGAAAATTTGATAATTTTGCCACTTCAAAGTTTAAAAGGGAGGGGAATTTACTAGATAAACGGAGCCATATAAGCAAAAGCCCTTTTCCTTAACACTATTCAATAAGCAATTTTAAATTTTATCCGTCCTATAACAAAATTCAAATGACCAGAGTTTTGAAAATTGGCAATCTTCAGCAAAATATCGTGTTTATGAAATAGATTGTTTCTTAGCACCAAAAAATTATTTTTTTAATCTCCTGTAAATAAACAAGTTCTTCAATTCAATTGGGTTAATCCCAAACTATTGAATTTTAGAGGCAGTGTGATTCAGGTACTTGAGGATTTAGGATTCAATTTAATTCAAATTTTTAGACCAATGTTCGTCGACTTTATCACAGAGGTTTCCTCCACAAGTCTTTCTATCTATCTTTTTAATTTAATTTGACAATTCCTATAAATTTATTCTCAAAATTTTATTTTGGAGTATTTCTATATTCCTTCGAAATTGGCATATCACAATCGACTTTCATCCCCCAGCATTTTTGAGGCAAAATATTACACCTCTTTAGTAAGTGGGCTTATGTAATGTATATGGGAATGCAATTTTTATAGGAACTCGAGTTCTAACTCTTTGATATATTTTTTTGGATTATTATGTTGTTAAAGGCAAAGTTAAAATCAATAAAAATACAATTTCAATTAATTTTTAATTTTAGTTCTGATCTTTAGACAATCGAGCATTTAATTAGCATTTTAACTTGGAAGAAATCTAAGTTCTAATAATTTATATAAAGAGCTTAGAATAGTGATTTGGCGAAATTGATTTTATTTAGGAATAGAAGAAGATACTTAACCTTACTCTTCAACATAACAAATTGTTTAAAAAGTGAAATTAGAAACAAATGTCCAAAAATAATGAGAGACTCGTGGTTTTTTTAATAATGGAATCTGAAATATCATCAAAAAGATTGGCCTTATTTGCTTGAGATTAATTATTAAATTTATGTTAAATCGATAGGGGAAATCTGTTATAAAGTAGGGTTCTCTAATGGATTGAAACCTTTTCTATTTGAAATTAAGCTCAGGCAATTATCATAAGCAAGAATCTCCTTATTTTAGATTATCATATTATCTAAAAAATATCCCTCCAACTTTTTTATTTAGATTCAATATAACAGTTTTTTTATCATTAACTACTTCCATCGATTATAATAAGATTTATTATCATTACTTTCAAGTTTACGATTTCATATTTTAAAGGATTTATAAAGCAAGTGAAATCAGAAATTTTGCTAAGTTATTTAATTATTTTACATGTGAGTTATTAAATTTATAAAAATAGTATTACTAAGAGGATTTTTATTAGATATTAAATATTATAGGTATGAACTGATAGTTTGACTGAATTAATACTGTGAACTAAACTAACGTTTTGGAAGAATTAAAATATGATCTACTTTAAACTTGTTTATTAAGTTTATATCTTTAGAAAGTCATTAATTGTTTAGGTCTGACTTGATAAGAAATATCAAAAGGATTATTTTTTAATAATAGTCTCCAATACAAATATTCTTTAAGTCACAATATTTATTTTTGGCATTAATAATAACATAGTCAAAGGTAAATTGGTAATTCAGCATATCACTACAATTATTTGTGGTAAAATTTTTATCAATTCCAATAATGACTCTATCTGAATTCTTTATTATGAGTTATGATAATGAAATAAATAGTAGCTAGGGAGGAGTTTAATTTTGCTTTTCTACATTCTTATAAGCAAAAGTATATGATGAGTGTATTATTTAACGAATTTTAGCGTTTATTGTTTCATTAAAGACACATTCTATGAAAGGAAATCGATTTATCATTCAATGTAAAGCTTTTGTTAACAAATATATTCCTTATTAACTACTATTCTATTTGATCCTGGTTTACATGAAATACAGGAATAAAAATCATCTGGTTAACAATCAAAACGAAAACCAGTGGAGCAAGGTTCGCATATTTATTATAACAAGCCATATTTTGGTTTACATACGCAGATACCATCTAATGCAATTTTATCTTCTCCAGCAATGCAAGAAGTACAATAATTTTGATTTGTGTCCAAGCAGGTATAACAAATTGAACGACAGTATCCTTTTAAAAATTAGCATGTGCCATTTGATTGTAATGCATAGGATGGCAAACAAGCTATACAATTAATTCCTTACGAATCCAATAATATACAATTTTTTATTTAAAAGTATTATACAATTCCTAGACAATATTTTATGTAAATATTACTTTTACATTTTTTAGCCTTTTAGTTATAAAAGAATCCTGGATTGCATAAAGTACATGTTGTATGTCAGAATTAAGATTACTAAAACCACAATTTGTAGAATTAAAAGCAACATAGCTGTCAAGACAATTTATACAACTTCCATCCTAAGACATGATCGACAACCATAATAATTGCACTCTTTTATAAATATATTATTTACATATTGGAGCATAGCACTATAATCATATCTACCAGTCACTAACTAGCAACCTTGTCCTTCTCCATAATGTGGATATTTACAAACTTAGCATATATATGATCCATTCTAAAAAGACATTATCAAACAGAACACATTTATATCATCATAGAAATCTTATGTATAAATTTTCTTACTTTAGCAATAAAATTTATAATGTCTATCAGAAAGCAACTCCATCACCAATGTTTAAGCATAATTCTAGAATCCACAGGAAAAAAAATGTTGCACTTAAGCTAGATTCCAATACAATCCTTTTTGGTAAGGTTAAAATCTAGGATGGCATAAATGTTATAAATTATCAAGAATATAGAGTATAATGTTTTCATAAATGAATAATTCACAAATGGATGATGTAAAATATAATTAACGTATCATTTATTATTACTACTTTACAAACACCTTGTAAGTTGCACTTTTATTTATTTTTCAATCTTAAACGCAGTCTCGCATTCAAATTTGCTTCATAACGTTGGTTGTAATATAAAATACTTTTAATATTAGCAATTATTTTTAATTAACTTAAAGCTCGTTCATTGGAATTAAATTCAGGAATTATTCAGAATACCATTTATTAATATTACTTTTCTATATAAAATTTATAACGCTAAAGATGAACCAATTCAAACTGACAGTTCATAACCAACTTATAAATTAGTAGGCTAATTACCTTTGGGGCCTGATTCCTGAAAATGCTTATTCTTTCTTACTTTTTGAAATAATCACGCTCTTCCTTTGACTTTTAACCAGCATCATTTATATATTGACCAAAAGAAGTTTCATCAAGGAATTCTTACTATTAAAAAATATTAAATTATGCTGATAATCAGTATACATATTCTCACTATATACTGAATCTAATTCATTCAATGTGAGTTCAATTTGGATTAAGTTATATTGATTATCGTTGTTTTATCTAATATATTTAATTATAATTAATTATTAATTTTGAATTTTTAGTAATTGGACTTCGATGAATATATATATATATTAAAAGTCTTTTAGAGGATGTTGGACAATTTTTGTAAAGTTTTAGGGATTCTATCTGCAGTGAATATCTTGTGGCAATTATGGTTATGTTAATCTAGTTAGGAAATACAGCTGTAGGGTCCATTGAATCAAAATCAAATAAAGTAAAACAAAAATTATATTAAGGATATTAAAGAAAAAGGTGGGTGAAAAAATTAAATAATATCAAATTTACTTTGCTGCTGCTCATGTAATTTAATATTGAATTAGAGAAGAATTAGATTACAAATATTCAAATAATTTATTATCATTACTTAAATTTCCTTTAGGAGAAGAGGGGTACCATTTGCCTCAATTTTTACTTGTATTTCTGTTACACCCTTGCAAATCAAGGCGTAAGCTATAATAGTGCAAATATTTACAAACACATTCATGTGGATGNTCTTACTTTAGCAATAAAATTTATAATGTCTATCAGAAAGCAACTCCATCACCAATGTTTAAGCATAATTCTAGAATCCACAGGAAAAAAAATGTTGCACTTAAGCTAGATTCCAATACAATCCTTTTTGGTAAGGTTAAAATCTAGGATGGCATAAATGTTATAAATTATCAAGAATATAGAGTATAATGTTTTCATAAATGAATAATTCACAAATGGATGATGTAAAATATAATTAACGTATCATTTATTATTACTACTTTACAAACACCTTGTAAGTTGCACTTTTATTTATTTTTCAATCTTAAACGCAGTCTCGCATTCAAATTTGCTTCATAACGTTGGTTGTAATATAAAATACTTTTAATATTAGCAATTATTTTTAATTAACTTAAAGCTCGTTCATTGGAATTAAATTCAGGAATTATTCAGAATACCATTTATTAATATTACTTTTCTATATAAAATTTATAACGCTAAAGATGAACCAATTCAAACTGACAGTTCATAACCAACTTATAAATTAGTAGGCTAATTACCTTTGGGGCCTGATTCCTGAAAATGCTTATTCTTTCTTACTTTTTGAAATAATCACGCTCTTCCTTTGACTTTTAACCAGCATCATTTATATATTGACCAAAAGAAGTTTCATCAAGGAATTCTTACTATTAAAAAATATTAAATTATGCTGATAATCAGTATACATATTCTCACTATATACTGAATCTAATTCATTCAATGTGAGTTCAATTTGGATTAAGTTATATTGATTATCGTTGTTTTATCTAATATATTTAATTATAATTAATTATTAATTTTGAATTTTTAGTAATTGGACTTCGATGAATATATATATATATTAAAAGTCTTTTAGAGGATGTTGGACAATTTTTGTAAAGTTTTAGGGATTCTATCTGCAGTGAATATCTTGTGGCAATTATGGTTATGTTAATCTAGTTAGGAAATACAGCTGTAGGGTCCATTGAATCAAAATCAAATAAAGTAAAACAAAAATTATATTAAGGATATTAAAGAAAAAGGTGGGTGAAAAAATTAAATAATATCAAATTTACTTTGCTGCTGCTCATGTAATTTAATATTGAATTAGAGAAGAATTAGATTACAAATATTCAAATAATTTATTATCATTACTTAAATTTCCTTTAGGAGAAGAGGGGTACCATTTGCCTCAATTTTTACTTGTATTTCTGTTACACCCTTGCAAATCAAGGCGTAAGCTATAATAGTGCAAATATTTACAAACACATTCATGTGGATGCATATCAAGCATGTATGTATGTAATTCAGGACATTTACGAGCAAAAATTCCAAAAGTTTAATACCAAGAATAATATAATTTAAAATTTTTATTCCTCTATTATCTCTCCACCCAACTGCTTGTGTGATAAGTCGAAATACAACTAACCACATAATCATGTTTATTTATTTTATCATACTTCATAATAATCAAAATATTTATCTAGTTGGGAAGTTTAGTCTAAAAGTTAAAAATAATATCAATGTTTTGAATATTTTATATTATTTCTACATAATTTCTCTTGCTAAACTTCTATTTGTGATAAGATACAGGAGTGGGAAGTTGATTACTTAGTAATAACAAATCGCTAGTTATTGTCTAAAGCGATCTGTATCACGAAGAATGTTTCAGAATTGTTAGGTAACGTCTAGTGCCATTTATAAATAAATAATATTTGTGATAATATCTATTAACTATTTGTAATAGATTTAGAAAGGTCTTTTAGGTTGTAATCTCTTCCGCTATTTTTAGTCCTTCAAAGGTATTATCAGAATGGTGAGAGTTGAAAAAGGAAATTGTTATATAAATTATCATAAGTTTTATGGGCTAATAATTTTCCATTTATAACTAAAGGCTTTTGAGGTCAAATATTTGAATTGCTAATGAATCACTGAAGAAGAATATTTATTGTATTGATATAAAATTTGAGCTTACACAAATAATGAAGTAAAATAATATATTGGCTTAATCAAAGTATTAATAATGGGTTAAGCTTTAGAAAAAGATTGTAATTGTTTTTTCTGCATTTATATGTAGAGGTAAGATGAGTAAGTTAATCTAGGTGTGAATTATATGAATGAGCAACTAAATGATTCTGCATTTAGTAATTTCGATTAAAGTTATTAAATTAATCCAAATATAGGTTTACATTAATAGAGGTGACTACTACCTTACTTAATATATTAGGCAATTTATATTCTGGTATCGGTGAGAAAGACAAGGCATCAATTCATTATTTATAACGATTATCAATATAGCCTAATAACCCATTAATGTTATGCAATTTAGCAGATTATTATTATTTACCTCCTGATCATACACAATAAGCTTTTGAATGTTTGAAAAATACCAATTCCTTTTTTCAAATCTAAGTTAATTAGAAATCTTGAAATTTCATTTAAGCTAAGGAAATATTAATTTTTTAGAAAATAAGGTTGATTTGCTTAAGGAATTGGAATAAGATTGTAATAATATAAAATAGTCAATTAGAAGTTCCCAATTGAAAACTAATAATAGTAATTAATTATACTAAAATATAACACAGCCTTAGAATCAATTTAAAACAGAATAAATCCAATTCTATCAACCACAATGACTGAATCAGCAAAACCTGAAAAGTAATAAGTTGAAATTGAATTACTGGTTTAAATATTATAAATGGTTAACAATTAAAATAAGAATTACTTGAATCTAATATAAAAATAAATTAATTAGAGGAAAATGTAATATTTTTGATTCAATAAGATAGAATCATTATTAAATAATCTTAATAAACCAGAAAACTAGTTATAAAAATCTTATAGCCTATTTTTATTTTGGAAGCTTTTCAATTGCTTACAAGCAATGTAAGAAATCTCGACAGATTTATTTTAAATAAACCTAAATGGAGTAGATGAAAGAGAATGTCTTTAATATAGTTCAAAAAAATTTCTAAAATTGACTCATCAACACTTTCTAAAATACCTATTATTGGAAATCTTTTTAAATTTTAAATGCCTCCCTTGATTATGCAATTGATGAAAAGAATGTGAATAAATTTAAAAACAGAGTAAGAAGTCTTAATCAAATACTAATAATTTTTGCTGTAAATCTATAAAAGTATGAAATTTGAAGTGCAAATGGTAGCGATAGCTATGGGAAAAATAACTATAGGCTAATGGTAAATAAAGAAAAAAACAATTTTTAGTGAAAGAGTTGACGATTTATTTGCAAACGAAAGAGGTTCTTAAGATTTATTTAAGGATATATATTTGATTTGCGGGACTGAGGATGCATTTATCATATTAAGCTATTTAGAAAGAAACTAAGAAAAGATATTAAAGGAAAAGAAAAAGCTAAGGGAGATATTTGAAGATGGAGTTAGGCAATATTCGTATACCTCTCGTGAAGTGCAGCAGGTGGATAAAGAATGTTCCTCAATATGCTAAATGATTTGATATCAGTCAATGAATATAAGACAAAAATTAATGCTAAAAAAATCAGAAATTTTGTTATAAATTTAATATATAATTTAAATTAAATATAATAGTCCTTATTTGAAAGAAAAAAAAAGTTTCTAAGTTTTAATTTTTAACAAATTTTCTAACAAATTCGATTAAATTGCATCACCAAAATCAACAGGTTGAATTATTTATTAAAAGAGAAAAACTTGTCAATATGAATTAATTTTGCTTTTATTGAATGAGATATAAAATCAAAAATAATATCTTTGTTGAATAGAAGTACACTACTTAGTGAGTTTCTCTAACTTGTCATTTTCTTTATATAAAAGAGTAATGTAGAATTAGAAGGATTATATCTCTATTGTATTTTATCGCGTCAATTTTACACTGTTGCGAAAGTAAAAATAATAAACATTTACTTATTTTTTAGAATTTGAATGGCCAGATCTAAAACAATCTAAATTATAATTTTGTACATTTATTCAAGGTAAATTTCTCATTATATGATTTCTGAGGAACAGAAAGAAATATAAAGAGTTGAAGGAATTTTGAAATATATTTTTGAAAATAATCCATTAATTTAAGAGTAGAACAAGAGGATTACAAAAGATGAGTATTTTAGGCATGACAGTCAGAAGCAAAGTTTTATATTTTGTATGAAAACAATGAACAAAACCAGATCAAGCTTATTAATTTATCATTTAAAATAACTGTGAATCAAGAATTGATGTCATTTTAAATATATTAAAACAAGTCTCATTGTGAATTAGTTGAGAAGATCTTCTAAAGATTTATTTAAAGTTTTTTGATTTGATGCTGCATCTTTTATAAATATTGAGGAAGTAATTTGGTTCATAAGCTTTTCAAAAGTTGTTAATGTATTGGAGTGAGAGCAGTCATTAGAAGACTCTAACATTTATCTATAGTGGCAGGCTAAAGAAGGCAGCAGCTTTATTATTTACCCAACTTTATGACAAGGAAAAGTTTTGAGCAAAACATTACTAATATTGATGACAATGGTTGATTTTGGATTACTTGATGGAGAACAAGAATATAAGGCAATAACTGCCTTATATTCGTGAACCAAATACTGACTGCAAATTTTTTTGCAAACTACCCTATCTGCAATTTTGTTTTATATGCATCAAGATCACTTTTAATAATCAATTTAAAAGATATTAAAAACTTAATATATTTTTAGCAGTTTCCAACTTCAGATTGTCTATCATCAGCTTTACTTCAATATTTTGGATAGGGATAATGACTTTATTCAATTAATTATGTATTTCTGATTTTTTGGGGGGAGTATTCATAATGCTAAATCTATTTCAAAATTATTATTTATTCTTTATTTAATTGCTCATCTATTTAGTTTTGGAGACATAATAATTGGATGACTCATAATCCAATTTAACCTTCTTAATAAATACTCACACTTTTAGTAGCTTAGAGATCGGCTATACTCAATTCCTTAATGATTGTTTTATATGATTATTGATACCTTATATAATTGGATAACATAATTCAATTCTATGCTAAAGTAGGATGCATAGTGTGTTGTTCAAAAAATAAATACTAATGAACTATTTCAAAGTAGATTTTCAATTATCTAATCAGACAGTATTTTAATATTTAGATGCATACTTTCTAGATTAAGACAAGGTTGGCAAGTATTGTGAGATTTTAGTTCATCTACCATCTACTTAAAAGGCTGATCCATAAATTAATCTTAAAACTATTTTCTTTTTTGAATTTTGAATAGCAATCCTATGTAAATCAATATGCTTTTTTGATTCTGTTTTCTATCATTAAACTTTTGGAATATCTAATTGTTCAGGTTAACTAATATAAGATTTATCTCTTGATCCAAATCTATTTAACTCTATTAACTAAATACGAAGCTCCAACCACAAAAGGAGCTTTCATTTCTATTTTGGCAACTGAACTATTTGAAAACTAGATATGGATTCAGTCAATTTCAAATTCCCAGCAAATTTTATATATCTTTATTTCGGATTCTGATCTATTGACCTCATTTCCAAATAATTCTTGTATTTNAGCTTTTCAAAAGTTGTTAATGTATTGGAGTGAGAGCAGTCATTAGAAGACTCTAACATTTATCTATAGTGGCAGGCTAAAGAAGGCAGCAGCTTTATTATTTACCCAACTTTATGACAAGGAAAAGTTTTGAGCAAAACATTACTAATATTGATGACAATGGTTGATTTTGGATTACTTGATGGAGAACAAGAATATAAGGCAATAACTGCCTTATATTCGTGAACCAAATACTGACTGCAAATTTTTTTGCAAACTACCCTATCTGCAATTTTGTTTTATATGCATCAAGATCACTTTTAATAATCAATTTAAAAGATATTAAAAACTTAATATATTTTTAGCAGTTTCCAACTTCAGATTGTCTATCATCAGCTTTACTTCAATATTTTGGATAGGGATAATGACTTTATTCAATTAATTATGTATTTCTGATTTTTTGGGGGGAGTATTCATAATGCTAAATCTATTTCAAAATTATTATTTATTCTTTATTTAATTGCTCATCTATTTAGTTTTGGAGACATAATAATTGGATGACTCATAATCCAATTTAACCTTCTTAATAAATACTCACACTTTTAGTAGCTTAGAGATCGGCTATACTCAATTCCTTAATGATTGTTTTATATGATTATTGATACCTTATATAATTGGATAACATAATTCAATTCTATGCTAAAGTAGGATGCATAGTGTGTTGTTCAAAAAATAAATACTAATGAACTATTTCAAAGTAGATTTTCAATTATCTAATCAGACAGTATTTTAATATTTAGATGCATACTTTCTAGATTAAGACAAGGTTGGCAAGTATTGTGAGATTTTAGTTCATCTACCATCTACTTAAAAGGCTGATCCATAAATTAATCTTAAAACTATTTTCTTTTTTGAATTTTGAATAGCAATCCTATGTAAATCAATATGCTTTTTTGATTCTGTTTTCTATCATTAAACTTTTGGAATATCTAATTGTTCAGGTTAACTAATATAAGATTTATCTCTTGATCCAAATCTATTTAACTCTATTAACTAAATACGAAGCTCCAACCACAAAAGGAGCTTTCATTTCTATTTTGGCAACTGAACTATTTGAAAACTAGATATGGATTCAGTCAATTTCAAATTCCCAGCAAATTTTATATATCTTTATTTCGGATTCTGATCTATTGACCTCATTTCCAAATAATTCTTGTATTTGGGTGGCTAATTTCCTCGGAACTTTCTTTTCATTCAAAAGGCTCAATTGCTTTTTTCTTATTTTGCATTGCTAATAACCTTCAAATGAGTAGTGAGAAGAGACGTAATTACAATTTGTTGACAGATACTCTATAAATGTATTCCAATTCAACTACTAATATGAAGATGAATTAGAAACAGTCTTTACCTGCAGTTAAAATTCCTATTCAATTAACAAAGTAATATATTTTGAAAAAACAGCAAAGTCAATCAAAACAAATTTGCATATTAATAAATCTCATAAACAGATTTTAAGCGGAGAGTTAAATTTAGTTGACACTTATTACAAATAAAATGTTAGAATTATTCAATTAATTATTAAAAGATAGTTAAAATAAAAAATAAATATCTGGGCAGAGGATATATATAAGAAAAACTTGGGATGTCACCTTTCTAAGGATAAATAGAGGTAAGCACCACCTCAAGAAGGATAATTCCGAAGGTTGGAGAGCACTAGACGAGATGTTACTTGGAAAAGAAAGGTGAATGCTATTCTTGAGAATCTCCCAGGGAAAGCATAAGTAGAAACGATTCAGAGGGAATACTCAAAAGAATTCCGAATAATTGGATGATAATTAAAGGTGGGATGAATTTAAGTTCATTGGAGCCCCAATAATAAAACAATCCAAAGGTAGATGTAGGAAAATGGAGTTGATGGAAATATTGTGAATTTCTTTTTTTATAATAAAGACTTGATAAATCATCAGAAAGGATCCGAATGCTCAATCAGATTTCAAAATGTGAGAATAATTGGGCTTGATGAAATTGATTGGAGAAAAATGAGATATATTATAGTAATTCATAGTTGTGATGAGTTTCTAATAAGAAGCTACGGGTGATCAAAAAGGATGAGGAATGGAAGAGAGAATTGATGCATGATGAGTATATGTATCCGTTATAGTCGTTGATGATGTATTTCTTATAGTAAGAAGTGTTGCTGCCATTTATTTCTTTATTAAAGAGAGAAAGGTTGTTTAAATAAAGGACGAATGAATAGAAAATTATTAATTTGACAATGCCTTAGAATATACCAAATATTAGATTATTACTGACACACTAAGAGTAAAAAGAAGAGGCTAAATAGAAGACAATTAAAGAATATTATGATGTTATTCAATTAATCGAATCCATTACTCGCAGGATATGAAATAGCTGGTTCTTAGAAGTTAGGGGGAGTAGGACTGAATATAACTGTAATGGGTTTATAAATAGATTCTATGTACCTTGAATTATATGAAGAAGATACTTAGGTATTAATTGTATATGGTGACGAGTTTAGGTAATTAATAATAAAAATAGTTTGACAACACACAATTAAGATTAGACTTTATGGTTAATAGTACTTCATTGGGATTTGGAATGATTATATGCCAATTTTGTGCTTGATTGCTCCAAACCTTGAGAAATCTTCACCATTTAAAGAGGCTGTCCTTACAAGTTGAATGATTAACATAATTTGATATAAATAATTACTATTAAAGAATAATTTTGATTTTCTATTAATGTTTTTGTTAGATTTTGATAAAATCAGAGCGTTTGCTGAACTTTGATGTTTATGTCACAACTTGTAATCCACCGCAAATAAAATATCTTGATAATAAAATGGATAAATATTTCCATAACAATTAGGTTGAACTCATCTAACTGGAAGCATCAACTTCTTGAATCATAAAGAATTTAATATAAAATTAATAAAAATATCTAATTAAATTAAATTACATTGCTTTTTTCACTTTTATCTTTTATTTATTTATTTAATATTTTTAAGATTATATTATTCTATTTCCTTAATTTATAATCCTCAATAATGTACAATTTACATATATAAGGTCATGATGATGTTATATAATACACTTAAAATGACAAAAAAAATTGATTTGATTTACACATTCCTTTCTGGAGGAAATACATCTTTTTAAAAAGTGATTCTGAAAAAACTAAACTTTATAAATTTATGAGTGAGTGAGTTAATTTATTTTTTATTTTCAGAATATACGTCAAAAATTTAAATATCTTCCAACAAAATTATTTGCAATTTCAATATGTACGATGAAAAAATATGTTACTGAACTCAAAAAAAGAAATTAGAATAACCAAATCTTAATCGATTACTTTTATATTTCATTCATAAAAGCGCTAAATTATTAAATGCCCTCACTATCCTATATTGAAGTTTAAAACCTTTGATCTCAAAATTAAATTAATCGAAATTGATTTTATAAGCGTATTAAATATCAACAAGGTGGTCATTACAAAATAAACTAAATATTGATTTTCCAAATATAAGTAAAAGAAGTTCGTAATTAAATCTATTTTCTTGATAAAGAGCAATTAAAGTACTTCAAAATTAATTAAAAAATCATAGAGATAGACTATAAAATATTTATTCAAATATGAATTTATTTATTTGACATTAGATTCTCTCATTATTTCACCCATTAAGTTATCAAGTATTAATCATAATCACTTGATGCAGTTTAATTGTTTAATAAAATTTGCTTGCTGTGTTCTCTAATAGGGACAACTTTAGAGAAGGAATAAGAAAAGAATGTTTAAATAATGGTTAAATAGCTCGAGATAACCTTTGTATAAATAATATTTTGTTGCTAGCTCAAGCTCCTATACTTTCTTGAATAAATTAGAAATTTGGGTTTTCTTTTGAGAATCTTACTACTATCTACTTTTTAGTTTTAATTTTTTTTATATAAATTTGATTCAAATTAGTAAATCAATCTCAAATTCTAAAATTAAAATGCGAATAAATTGAATTCATTATTATTTTTTTCCTGTTTCAGAAAATATATAAATTAGAACTCATTGGGACTAAATAGTGAGAAGAGATGGAAAACTTATACCAGGCAAGATAAAGATAATGAGGTTCATTTCACTTTATCTTTGCAGACCCAGCTCTATTAGAAAAGAATTCTAAGGAACTTTAGATTGGAAAACCAATAGGGAACAAGATTACAACATAATATGTCAAGTAATCCTTTTAATAAGATCCTGCCACTTAATTTATAAATTGCATTTCTCAATAATCATAAGTTTTGTACTAAATATTTCAATGAAAATCTCATCCTTGAAAAATGTTATATCATAGAAAATGATAGTTAAGGATGATATGGAGAATCTTGCAGAAATTTATAAGATAAGTAACTTATATTTCTATTTCGTAGTCGACTTAAAGCGAATGTCGAAGTCAATATTTATTAGAAATGATAAATAGTGCATGATTAACAGGCTTTTAAATAGTTATCAACACAAACAATGTCAAAAACCATTAAATTATAGGTGAACAATTTACTAATTATTTGATTTTCAATTACACCAATTAATTGTTTAAAAATATTAAAGAGGAATGTTATAAAATCAAAAATTAAATCAAGATAATTGAAGAATATTAATTTTAATGTAAACAAAATAGAAGAAGCAGTTTGAACATGAAAGAAGACTATTAACTAGTAAAAATGTTTAAATTCTATAAAGCATGATATAGTTTTTATAAGATGCATAACAATTCTTACTTTATTATAAATTAATTATTGATGAATTAATTCATAAATTTAATGACAATTCAATAAATGTAAAATATTAAATATATGTGTTTTAATTTTTAATAAATGTGTGAATTATGTAAATTGGATCTCATTCTTACATTGTGTATTTTCTAATTTGAATTGATAATGAATCGGATAAATACGATACAAGATATTCTCCGTCTTTACTCATTGAGCCAAAAAGAAAATAATCTGCATATTCAATTACTTGTTCTAATTTGCAAGTCCATCCTCCTTCACTTTCCCTAATCTAGATTCCTTCTTTGGACTTTAGGAATGAAAATTTTACTACATTGACTTCATTTCCATTTTTTATTATAAGTGTCTCTGTGATAGGAGAATAGCAAGGTGGGAATAGGGCAAAACATTATTGACCAGGTGTTTCTAAATGTAAATGGTCTAATGATTTAACAAAGTGCTAATGTTCATTTTAAGCGAAAAAGTGAAGTTAAGTTCCCAAATGTGGTAAGATAGCCAATATAGATCATTTGTAAATTCGTTATTTAACAGACCATTAAAATTATGGATCAGGTCTCATTACTATAATTAATTTTTCCTTTGAACAAGATACAAATTAGTCACCTAAATTATTAATTACCATTCCATTTATTGTAGTTTTAAATTCATTCATTGTTTGCTAACAACTCCATTAATGATCTTTTGACCAGAATTTTATTGTTGAATCTTGAGAACCTGAAATAATAATATCCTCTCTAATTGGATGAATAAGTAAGTTGGACACCTAATCCTAATGCCCCTTCAATCTATACTACATACCATATTAAATAGTGCTGTTTGGATTTGTACCTATGACCATACGATTATTGAATTATCAACCATTGCAGCACCAGAGATGAAGGAGTCATTGTTTTATGGCAGATTAAAGAATTAATGTTCTTTAAGTTTTTAAATCTTCTTCAGCTACCTTGGTTCTCCATTTATATAAGGGATTTCATATATTTAAATTTTAGGGTCTTTCCTACGATTATCAGAGTCTTTTTCAAATTAATAGCATTAGTGTATGAAGAATAATTAATTTTTGTAGTTGTCTCTGGTAAAATTTCGAATTTATGTGTGCTTTACTTAGAATGTTGTAACATTTATACTGTAATAATCTATATATAATTACTCAATAACAAATTATCACATATATATTAAGTAATTTAAAATCCCTAAATTTATCTATCTCTATCATATTAATGTGATAAAACTGATTTATTTGTAAATCCAGTAACTTTTTCATCTCAAATTTCTTTTATGTTGATTCTAAATCAATAATACGTTGAAAAAAGGTTAAACTCTTTTTATTCAATTTTTGAGATAAGTCTAGAAATACTGTGTTATAAATATTCGAAATATGTATCTGCAAGCGAACAAAGTTAGTAATTAAAACCTTATTGATTTCAATAGTAAATAACCACCAGATCCCTAATTCACTGAAATCAGAACAAAAATTCAAAGAAATTATCTTATAATTATTCATTTTTTAGGAAGTGAGAACAAGAGCATAATAGCAAATTTAAAAATTAGAATAATATAAGATAGTAATATAGACTATTTATTAAGAAAAAGAAACCAATTAATTTTATAAGATCCTAAATAATCTAATACGTGAAAAAGAATTAAAAAATAATGATATAGTGTTAAATTAACAACCTATAATTTCAATTCTTTTCTTTGTATTTCTTAATTATATTTGCTAAGAAAAATCATCCCATGTAATTAAATATTCACCCTTTTTATCTAATGCTCCATATACACCTCAACTTAATGTATTAAGTAAACACCATCGTATTTCGATTTAATTCATAAATTTCCATGAAATTAGACGCATAAGGTTAAAATGCAAATCTTATCTTGTCTATAAAACATAGTCTATGTCCCCAAAGCTATACTGATATCATCTTGTAAAAATTCCATTGATTATGAAATTTTTCATACACAATTATCTAATTTGATTATTCAAAACAAGAAATCAGCATGTTTTACCCAGAATTCAAATTTAATGATTATATGTCTCCTGATATTTCATTAATAGTTTAGATACATTCATAATTTTACTACTTATCCCAAATTTTAATAGATCGATCGCAGTTCCCTGAAAATATCAAATTTTCACTATAATCTATTGTTAAACACATCATCATGTTTGTGTGTCCTATCAACTTAGAACTTTTAAACCATTCTTGTTTATCATTGATCGACCAGATTATTAGACTTGCATCTCCACTTCCAGAGACAAATTGATTAAATTTAGTCATAAATTATAAGCAATAGACAGCATCTGTATGATATTTGATTATCTATTTTTCTTTCATCAATTCATTTATTCATTCAAATATTTGAATTGTACCATTTTCTAATCCAGCTAAAATAATAGATGAATTATCATTAAATGCAAAAGTTAAACACCTTATTGATGAGTTTTTATTGTTTTCTTTCATTAATTCATATGAAAATGGTTTAGGATTACAAGGAACTTCATCTTCAGAATCTTCGACCTGATTTATTTCAAATTCTTCACTGTAATCTTTTAGATTTATATAAATTTGTCAGTGATTTCTATAAACTAATCTGCTAGCCTGCGATTTCTTTATTAAATTTAATAAAATTACTTAAAGTATTTACTAATTTCATTTGAATTTAAATTTAGCAGATCACTCTCCATTATTGAATACGTAGCTAGAATTCCTGATTTAAATTGCTTGAAATGTTGTTACATTTTTGAAAATTAGATTTCTATCTCCTCTACTATTTTATTGCATTATTAAGATAACTCTTTCAAATATTCACAAAGTTTCAATTTTTTTTTTTTTTCAGTATCTTTATTATGATTTCCATGTAGGGATTCAATTTTAGAGCATTATTCAAAGCAAAATAATCTTTTCTCTTTACAATATTCATTTGTACAAAACTTCTCAACAGGATATTCATGTCCCCTAGCATATTAAAGCGGCAACATTCGAATAATTTAATTATATTATTACCCTCTAATAAAATGATAATAGAAAAATGAAAAATGTATAATAATCAATAACTATAATTAATTGTGTGTAAAGGTGTAAGGTTTTTGCAGAGTATTTTTTATTGGCGTTATTATTAGAAAATACTTAGAGAAACCTCTAACCATCTACTTTTAGATAACTATAAAAATACAAGGACAGAAACGAAGAACCATTAAAATCGAATACTTTTCTAATTTAATTTTATAAGCATTTTAATCATTTTTTAAGGCTACATATATATATTTTTTAATATTTACACATTTAACTCACATTTCTATATTTTTATTCTGTTCAATCTTCCATTACTTTATGACCCTAATCAAAAGTAAAATCTTTCAATTTAAATTGTATTTTCTCATTTGGATCTAACTTAGAGATCTTGTATTTAAATCAAATGTAAAAACACTCATTATATTTAATTTGTGATTGGTACTATTTTTTATTCTATATCTCTGGAGTACTACTATAAATTAAATAGTAATACTCATAATTGAGAACTATTTGGAAATACCCAAATATGTAAACTTAATTTAGACTTACCTAAGGAGTATTGTTTTATTTTAATTATTCATATGATTGTTATTTTACTATTTAATTCTTGCTAAGACACTTTTCTTAATCAGCTGACTTCTAGAACAGCTCTTTGTATTATTCATGACCTTGCACTTATTTCCTTGTTCTCTTTTGGGTTTTCCTCAATCAATAATATTCTTCTTTTTCCTCTAATTCATTTAATTTAAGTAGACTCTTCATACTTAAGCACCAGCCTCTTCTTTCTATTTTCTTCTTGATATAATAGATCTAATCTATTATTTCAGATAGAATTCTAGCACGACATGGCAAACACATTTGTGTTATCAATAAAATAAGTGGTTTGGCTAAGTTTAATTGTTAATCTAAGTATGTATTATCATGGAGTTCTTATCTAGGAATCGGTCCCATTAAATAGCCTTAATTTATAGTTTATGATTCCTTTCAAGGTCTTTATATATCATTCCTATTATATTCTCATTACGCAATCTGTTTAATTCTGATGAACCTAGAGTCTATAATTGAAAAAATTTCAAATTCTTCTGTGTTACCAAAATCTCTGGGTTGATGATTAACGATAGCTAATATCTCTAGTATTACCACCTCTTTATTTTCATTCTAAGAATTTCATCTCCTCCATATGTCCTATATTTCTTGGTTAGCAAACAAGCCAGCATCTTTTTGATTTCAAAGTTAGTCTTAACTCTCACCATCCTTGGGTTAAGACCCTCCAATAAATAACGTTTTTTAAAATGAGGTCATTAGTATTACTTCTGTCCTTTAACATCCTTAAAATTCATTTTGTATCTGAGAAATCTTCTTGTTACTCATAGCATGGGGCTTTTAATTTAAATTATTCTCCTAGTTTACTCCGATGATTTAAATTTAATTTATATTCTTAGGCTTGAAAAATACATACTATTAATATCAAAAAAATGGCATGTCATTTATAATTTTTTTCAGAATTAAATTAAGCCATTATAATTAAGGATTTAATTATGAATAAAAAAAATTACTATCAAAAAATTGTAATTAAAATCCTTATTCATAAACTTATTCATATTTGGTAAAGAATTAATTAGGAAAACATATTTAAAATTAATAATCAAATTTAATAATATTAAGGATCAGTTTAATTCATTCCATAAAGCAAACCAAATAATTGGTACTTTATAGTCACTGTATGATGGTTTGTTTGTTGTTAATGATATCAGCTTCCTAAATTCAAGGCTAAGGTCCAATTTAGAAAAATAAAGATGAATACATTATTTACATCATTTATTAAATAGACACACTATCATAGGTTTATAACATTAATAAAGAATCCAAATAAAAGCATTTGAAAAAACAAAGAATAAATAAAAAATATCTTGTTCTAAGCATTGGAATATTAGGAGCATTTTCCAAAATTTAATGGCATTATGTAGTTATTCGATTGATAAATTCTAATATTTATTACTAAAATTTTTAGTATTTAATTAAGGAGCTAAAAGTAGGTTAAACTAAAAAAGGTTATATTGTAAACTTAGACGATTAATGTTGATAGAATGTCGAGTATTTTCATTGAGCCAAAATGATTATTTGAATAAAATTTAAAGGCATGTTATTTTTATATCTGATATTGGCCCCTTAATTTTTGCCATCTCTTTCCAGATGATATCATCACTATTTGCAATAATGAGCATTGGATGATACTATAATATAATCATTTGATCATAATCAAAAAGAAAACTACATTACAATCACTTTTGATTGATCATTCATCAAATTAGGAAAATCGTTACTTTTAATTGTGCTTGTATACAATGAATAATTATTAATTATTTAATTGCAGAATTTTAGGTTTTTCATAAATTTTATTCATATATTTGAAGCTATTTGACTTGCATCAATATTATTAACTTTATTTAGAGTCTCATGATATGATTGGAATTTTAAAGTGGATTTATATAGTGAACATGTAATATATAGATATTCTTGATTTATTCTGATGTGCAAAAGTTTAATACTAAATGACTCTCAGAAAAAAAAAATAACTACAAAGTATGGGAATCCAGCCTTGATTACTAGCCTCAGTTAAAATCTTTACTGATTGATGTTCATTCAAAAAAACTAATTACTTAAATTATATTATTGATAGTTTCTAATTTACATGCATTATGAGATATATGATCTCCAAAGCATTAATTTTAAATATTATGGATTATAGATTAATCAAAAACAATCTAAAAATTAATCACTCTTGAATTAAGCTTTATTATCCTCAAGTTTTGTGATAATAAATAAACCCTAATTGTTGCAAACCAAAATTATACAACTAGCTAATAACGGTAAAGATGTTATATAAAGCAGCCATCCTTTGGATATAAATATCTTCTCCAGTCCTTCAAGTTAGAGAATCCAGAAAAATGACTTGGGGATTGATATGTTCATTAATTCAAACTCCAAAACTTATTTTTCGAAATTAATAAAAGATCTTTGATGAGAATTACTCTCTATTAACATAAAGAAAAAATAATTCTATCATCTCTATCAGATAACAAGGCAAAAGTATCTTATTATTTCATGAAGTCAATAAAACTTAGATTTACAGAACATTTATTATAAGGACATACTAAAACTGAAGAATATAAAGTTGAAATAAGATGTACCTTAAGTCGGTAATTATATTATACAACAACAGTTTGGTTGTGGAAACAAAGGTGTATGCAAATAAGTAATATCCGATAAAATCAGCAAATAAGTCTTACATGTAACTGTTACGAAGTTAAACATAAAGTGCACTTTGCCAAAATTAGGGTTTAAAAAATATTCGAAATATTGCTTAATGTAACAGCATCAGTCATAATAAGATAGCATCAACCACAAAAGGCCAATTACAGAACTATTCTTATATAGAATTAATGTACAATTTTTTTCATCAAGTAATGTAGACAATCAACGCATCTATTTGAAAGCTTGAAATCTTGTTGATACAACTGATTATGAACATGTGAGCGTTGAAAAGGATGATGACTTTTATTGGGAATTTATTTTCACTTTATCGAATAATGCTCGGATTATTTTTACATATTCAAATTGATTTGAAGTTTTCTATTTGACCTGCTATGCTGAGGTTGCAGAGCTGGAATAGCAGATGTAATTATTTTTTAATCGGAGGTTTTCATAACTGAATACTCTCAGTGTACTAAGAATATTTGGGGAGAATGCTATTTAATCAGTGTTTGCATTAATAAAAAATGATATTTATTCTAAGGTTTTCGAGTATTTTATCTACTCTAAAACTTCTACCATGAATGAAGTGAGTGTTTTTTGATTATTAATCCAATATCCATCAAAACAGGTTTAATTAAATAGGAGATAAAATTTGCATTTACACAAGCATCCCATTTAGTGAATGCACCCACATATCAATTATAGAAGTTGTTAATCACAACTTAAACATTGAGATATACTCATCACTAGTTTAGATATTGCTGACTCACTCTTTAGTTACGATAAGTTTGTACTGCATCAAACTAAATTACAATGGTTTGCTGGATATTGTAGAAGGCAAGTTTTAGTAGCAATATATATATACCACTGATTAAGACATTTAGTCTGGTAGCTAGGAAACAGTATAGAAAGTGCAAAAAAGTATTCTCACATTGTTATCATATAAGATTGTTCATTACCATTATCCTTTTTCTGAGGTTTGTATTCAATTAAAGTTGCAACATTTTAAGCCCACACTTTATTAAAGAGTTCAGTTTAAATTAATTGCTATGAAATCACTGGCCGTAGAGTCCATTGATGCTCCATTCCTTAATCTAAACTGAATCTGTTAAGATTCTTAGCTCACATTCTATAAAGTAGAATTATATGAAAATTTAATCTAAATTATATTAAAGTAAATTTTTCTTAGACATTAATATCAAAAGTTAAGCTGAATTTACATCTTCTTTTTTCCATTGTAAGGAATTCTTTCAAACCCAAATAATTTAATTTTATTTAAATATAAAATACCTTTAAAAAGTTTAATGCAAAATTAGCAACATGAATTAAACACATATATAATTCTATGCTGCTGGATGTCTGGATCATGTATAATTATCTACGAGTAAACCAAGCTAAGCTATTGCATAAGATATCACACCCAGTATCATTCGAAAGGCTATACTCTCATTAACAATATATAAATGTAAATTTAACATTTTATCTTAATGATTTAATAAAATTTATTAGTTTAATTAAAAAGTAAAAATTAAGTGTAATGGAAGATATAATATCCTATATAAAGTGTACAGATATTTAGTAGAAAGACGTTTTGAAATATTAATATTTCATGTAATCTTTATCATTTAAGTTTTACATACTTTAGGAAATCAATTAATATTTAAATAATTATTTTCTTGCATGTCTTCTGCATTGCATATTCATATTGGAGGGGCTGGAGTAATGATTGGTGATATGTTATGGAAACTTTATGAAAAAGAATACAATGAAGCAACTTAGAATAATTATATTTATGAAGAAGTTGATGGGAATCATTATCCATTAGCAGTTTTCATCGATTCAGATGACAGAATGATACATGAAGTCTAAAGGGATAAAACAGTAAAATTTAGGAAGCATTCATTTTTACATGGAAAAGAGGATGCATCAAATTATGCTAGAGGTTGGAATGTAGGTAGGGAACTTCGAGATTAAGGATTAGATTGTTTTCGAAAATAATAGAAACGATGGATAGATTAGATGAATTTGTCGTAACATATTCAATAATTGGAGGAGCTGGGTCTGGATTTGGCTATGAAATCATGCATAATTTAAGTATTGATTTTGGAGAGAAAGTGAATAAAAAGGGATTTATAATTTTCCCTTCTTCTGAGATGTCGAACAATGTTGTTGGACTTTATAATGCTGTGCTTTCGATTGATACAATGACTAGGTATTTTGACTGCATTACAGTGTTTGACAATTAATCAATGTACAATGCTATTGATCATCAATTAGATTTAGACTTTGTTGATTATTAGCATTTAAATAACTTGGTTGCCCAAATAATTAGTTCGTATACTGGATTAAGAAGATTTAGTTCTTATGATAACTCCAAGTTTATTTCACATTTGTGTCCTTATCCTATGGTTCATTTTTTAATTCCATCATATGGCTAAATGACTTTAATTAATAATTACACTAGAAGAGAATTAGAACAAGGACAATTCATTAAATATGTTACAAAAAAAGATTAAAAGCTTTATCAATGCCCTTAAAACCCTTATCATCTTTCTACAACCTTATTATTTAGATAAAAAGAATTGGACTGTTTTTATGGGAAATAGGATTTAACATTAAAAAATTTAGATCATTGCTTTGGCTAAAGAACAAATATTATTCAATGTAAATCATCCAATTACTAAGTATTACCTGAACTTGCATCAATGAAATAAACTGGAACCTTCTTTTCAAATGATGCTTCAATTGTTAGTAGATTGAATTTATTAAATCATTAATTTCATAAAGTATATTCAAAAAGAGCTTTTGTACATTGGTATGTTGGTGATGGTCTAGAAGAGAAAATATTTTGTGAAAGTTTTACGGAATTAGATAAATTAATATATTCATATGAAGATTTGCTAATTTTGGTGAATGAACCAAATGAGATTTACAGCAATGATGAATTGTGAGAAACATTATTTCGATATGCCAGTTTATATAATTTAAATAGGCGAGAAACTAATTTCTCAATAAATAATTATTTTGAATTATATTCTATTCTTCAATATAAGGGTATTTCTTAACGTTCTAAAACAGCGGATATTACCCTTGAAGCAAAATCTAAAATGATTTATTTTATATTTAAAAAGCCAATATTTTAATTAGATATTTGTTTCGTTAAAGTTGATCAAAGTGAAATAATTTACTTGTCTTGGATTTTATGATAAAAATTAATGAATCAAATGGATTGAGATATGAATTAATTTTCGATATTGTGATGCCTAAGTTTATAAACCAAACACTTCCATTTTAGCTTTTGAGCTTGATTTAATCGCATAGATGATAAAACTTAGGTACTATTTCTAATAGAGAAATTGTAATTGTGAATTTTATAAAGCGAAAATCATAAACTATTCAACACATCGCTCTCTCCTAATTGGGTTGATTAACTAGTTATTCATTGCTTTTGTAATTCATTGAGATATCAATATTATTGTTTTTTCTAAAGAGGTCTTGCAGATTATAGAAAAAATTTTGCAATCAACCTAGTTTTCATTATCCTAAATAGAGAATAAAGTCTACAAGGCTAGATTTAAATTTCTACCTAACTTACATATCCTTAATTTATCTAATAATTTCTTTATCATTATGAATTCTTGTTGCCTTTACATAATTTTTCTCCACTTTTGATAAGAAATTTTATCTAATCAGCGCCAAATATATAGAGCAATATATTTCTATCTAAAGCTAGAAAACCTTAAAAGATCAGAAATAAATCTAATTTTAAATTGATTCCAACCAAAGTTGGCAACTTTACTTCCAAGTTATAAAGCAATTTCTTCCCTTTTACTATTGACTTGTACTCATAATTACAAGCAGCTAAATGAGAACAGAACTTTAAACTATTTTTTAAATAATAAATTTCATTTTAATTCTGTTAATCGCAAATGTGAAATACTCAAATTTAATCATATAGCCTATACATTCAAATTGGAAACTAGAAAGATCTCTTAATTTAAACCCAAAAAATTAATATCAAGCATATTTAAAATTAATTTTAAAGCTAATTCAGGTAATAATAGAAAGTTAGTTTCAAAACTTTTTGAGGAAATTCAGAAACTAAATGAGATTCTTGAATTAAATTTTTTCTTTTAGGACCTAGAAAGCTTTATTAAAGATGTAACTGAATCGCTCTATTCTTCCATATGGGTATTCTCTTGTTCCTTGCCTTATCTAAGAATAAAACTACTCATACTACTCCAGTATGCATTTGAACCAAATGGTATTTTTTTAATTCTTGTATTATTGATTTCCTTTCAACGTTATTTAAGAAATAGTTATGATTCTTTGATACTCTCTCAGGATTTGGGTAATGGGTTTCTCTATCATGTAATTCACATATTATATTTTTCCATAATTATGCTCCAATAGATTTAATATCATTATCTTATACAAGAGTTAATAAAATCATTCATACATAGAGTTTTAACATATCTCTATTAATTCCCATTAATATTAATATAAATAAATCTTTTTTTATGTTTTTGTCTATCTAAATTCTTGAACTTCAATTCTAATTTTTTTCAATTAGATTACATAAATCCATTTTAATGTTTTATAAAATAATATCCTAGATAATTCAATAAATTCATAATTAAAAGTCCATCCATGAAATCTTTTAATATTGAATAAAGTCACTATCAATTTAATTTACCACCACTTTCTAAATATTGACCTATATTGGACTTATTTTTCTCTATATTTTCTTTACATCAAATTCGAACTCATCTTTTTCCATATTACAAGCATAGCATTTCAATTATATAACTGTCTGTTTGTAGATAATATTTAGACAGTATGTGAAACAGTTCCTATTTTTCTCTAATACTTCATTTCTAAGAATAACAAAGATAGTCTTTAAAATAATATTATTTGTAAACTATTACTTCCTTTATGATTAGATGTATTTGTTATAAGGATTTATAAGAATTGCATATCATATTATTGATTTTTCCTATGATCTAATTGTGCGTTTTTAAAATCCACGAAACTAAAGACTTTGTATCTATAGTCTTTAACTGAGGCTTTGTTTAAAAGCAAATTTCCATAATAGTATAAACCGAGTTTAAACATTTTACAATATTAGGAGACTATCGTATAAGTTCTTAAGATCTTATGGCAATTTGCAATTTTCTTGTAAATGCCTTGAATCCCAAAATTTCAAATTAATAATTTTACTCATACTCTTAATGATTGCATAATTATAACCTTAAACTTTGAAAAAAAATAAACAATTTATATTGAAGTTGAATTTAAACTGCCTTAATTGGGATATAAAAAAAAATAGTTGATGCAAGTTTTTAAGCTTTGCAACATGTTAAATAACATAATTTAAATTTGAAGATGGTATTGCCACAACATCTAAAATTGGAAACGTTTAAATTAATTCTCAAACCGAGTTCAATTAACAATCTCGAAATTATTTAAGGGAACTCAAGTTTGGATAAAACAATAGTATTAAATTGAAGATATCAGAAAATAGAAATAGATTATAATTAATTAATTATTTTAAAAATTTGAAAAAGCTAGTATAATATTAAAAAATTAATGTGCTTAAGATACTCAGAAAAATAGATTACCAGGAACTTAATCCTAATTTAAAGAAATTTATTATAAAGAAAAAGAGAATGGATTTTCTTGTAATATGAGCTATTTGCATTTTGAATCTTTATTTAGGAGAAATACTATTGTATGGTTCAGTATTATTATCTAGCTATGTTTTTGGCTTTCCTAGTAAGTAATTCTCAAGATACAATATCAATCCAACTCATGGCTTGTTTGTTTCTTTAATAATTCGGAACAAAAAAGAAGAATACTAATTAGAAAACCATAAAAAACTTTTTAAGTTTAACTGGAGTTGAGCTTTATTCTCAATAAGGTTTACTTTGTAATTAAACTCAAAAACTTCTGATCAAATTCGAATTAAGTGAATTTAATTTAAATTATCATTTTAGAATAAATAAATTAATAAAAATTAAGGTATATTTTTAAATATGAATTCCTTTACTTATATGGCATGAACATCTTTTGGATAATCAAATAGACGAGAGTTGGAAGTTAAATATTTTGATTCAAACAAAAATTTAATCTTAAAGGGTAAGGTTTAGGTTACCTTGAAAAAAGACAACCTGATTATATATTCACACAAAGATGAAATTTTGTGAAAGTATATATA